TAGTAAAGCTGGACCGACTCAGAAATCTCTATGGCAGATTCTCCAACATCTAGCTAGACTCCCAGAACAAGCTAAGCTATAGTCCAGCTATAAGGGAAATAGACGTGTAGCACGGAATACGTTTATTCAGTACGTATATTGATAGCGAAGTGTTGTGTTGGCAAAGCGATTAGTTATCAGATAACTTTAACATAATTCGAGTGAACATTAATAGCTAAATATTTCTGAGTATTGTTCTATAGCAGGATTTCTATTTGGTCATTGATGATGTGTCCCACAGCTCTTTGTAGTTACGAGCTAGATAAAAACACGCCTGGTGTAGAAATAGGTTTGGCATCGTTTAGTGTATCCTAATTTTGGCTATCGATTTAAATGCCCTTTCCTCTTTTTGTATTTTTATCCTGTAGAGGAAAGATAGTCTGTATTTATCTTCCTTACGATATCTTATACAGATAATTAAGTCAGTGAGAAGAAAAAAGATGGTTCTCCTGTTTTAAGTTAAAAGATAACTCAAGTATCTTTCAGTTCACATTAATAATTATGAGGACTCCCAAACTGCATATGGGTCCACCTATCAAAATGACTGAACTTATTTAAGCAATATGATCATTCAGATACACTGAATGATAACCAGGTTAACTCATCAATGGCGATAATAAGCATACTAAAGCTTCTATTGGGGATATTCGTGTAAGAGCGGCTGGTGGGTGTTTAGATCAAAATGCATCTGGTCTTTAATTAGTTGGCGAAGTGAATCCAGGTAGTTAGCGAAAAGAAATAAAGATGAATGAGCAATAGCTTAATTTTTGGCAATATACCTTTATATTTTGACTTAGAGTATAGCTTGTTGGTCCAAACATCATCTTAATTTTATATTTATTTATTTATTTATATCAAATGGCAGGCGTTTTGATAGTTATCATTGGCCCTGGAGCTCACTTCGGGGCTTCACAGAGAGGAGAAGGAACATCAGAGTGACAAAAGTCGAGAGGGGAACAGAAGAGTGTTTCACAGATGTAAAAGAGATAGAGGCATAAAAAACGGTGAGACGAGTACTGTGAAAGGGGTCGAATATGACATACAGTGGGGCCATGGCACCTTGAAGTCAGAAGTCAACTACCAGTTAATACTTTTTGCCGTATGAATATACGTTGCCCAGGGTGCACCACGTGGAGGTAAGTCTGTTCCACACCCCTCATCTTAATTATATAAATCCTTGAAATGCTCTATTTCCCCAGCGTCAGTCTTTTTTAAGAAATTTTAAACATGTTCCCATTCGCAATAAAAATATTTTGTCAATAGTTATCATTTTGTTATAGGTCTTGATAATTAAAGCAATATTAAAATTGTTCACAGTCCTTAATTTAAATGGATTTATGTCTGTGCTAGAGCCCACTGCAACTGAACTAATATAGTTGAAACTCTTTTAATTAAATGGCCAATTTACTTGTTGTAAGGTGAAAGTAATAAATGCTATCCGAAAATGCGAGATCAACCACTTCTTCATTTCATAGACAAATCAAATCGTGACATCTTGTAATTCTAGATATGTAAAACTACATAGTATAGTGACCAGCTTACTATTCTTGATTATTTTATTAACAAACTTAAAAAGTTTAAAATCGGATATTTGCTAGAAGAGATCCAAATTGTTGAGCCAATCCTAAACACAAACACTGCTTACATTTGATTGAATCGTAAATGAAAATCAATGTCGATTTTTTTCAATTTAGGTGAACAAAAGTCAAAGTTTTTCCAGAATATTTATTTATTTATTTATTTCAAATGGCAGGCGTTTTGAAAGATATCATTAGCCATTTAGCTGACTTCGGGCTTCACAGGGGGGAGAACAGAAGAGAGATAGACGGACACAAAGGTAGAGAAAAAGGTAAGGGGAATACTGTGGAAGGTGTCGAATATGACAACCAGGGGAGGGAGTCGTGGTAGTTAGAAGCCAGAAGTCAATTGCCGGTTAATAGACTTTTTTGCCGTATGAGTATACGTTGCCCAGGGTGCACCACGTGGAGGTAAGTCTATCGCACACCCCGTTTTTCCAGAATAATTTTCATTACTTAATTAACAAAGCATTACATTCCTACAGGAATATTCTATATGCAAATCGAAAACTATTTATTTATTTATATCAGTTGGCAGGCGTTTTGATGGTTATCATTAGCCCTTTAGTTGACCTCGGGCTTCACAGAGTTGAAGGAACATCAAAGTGAAAGAAAGTCGAGAGGGGGTGGGGAGGGAGCGGAAGAGTGTTTCAAAGACGAAGGTAGAAAAGAGGTGAGGTGAGTACTGTGAAAGTAGTCGAATATGACATACAGTGGGATCATGGCAGTTTGGAGTCAGAAGTCAACTGCCGGTTAATAGACTTTTTTGCCGTATGAATATACGTTGCCCAGGGTGCACCACGTGGAGGTAAGCCTATCGCACACCCCAAATTGTTGCAGCGATTAGTAGAAATATTTTAGCTTTGAAAGAATATGAAAATGAGCGACTAAAATCAATTTGCTAAATTTCATAGAATCAAATTAGATTACAATTAAATCTCACCCCCATTTTGAAATGTAAAAATTCAAAATCCTTCTTTTATGATTTTATTTTCAGAAATGATTTATAACATCCTCGAAAAATTAATTCGTTATTCATGCTAATCGTGACCAATGTCTTTGATGCTTCATGATGTTTATTATCATATTTAAAATCCTCCAAACTTTACTGATTTAAAGCACCCTAGTCATTACTATCTAATTGCGGCGCGATAGCATGATCAATCTCTTAAATCCGCCTATCGAAACTGATCAACTTGGAGTACATACTATAAGCCAATAATTTGGGGATTTGATACAGAAGCTAAGATTTTAGAAAATGAATTAATACCACGACGATTTATAAAGCTTAACCTAATTATTCCTAATTTTTTCCATTTTCTTAATTGTTAGATATTTCACTTACACTGAGTCGTACTATTCTGCCTAAAGGAATGAAAAATAGTACTGAGGGAACAAAATGCTTATCTTTCCTAAAATGAAACAACATATGTAAGGGATCTATTATTTGATGGAACAGATAGCTTAAAATTCAAATTCTTGCTGATCAGTTTTAAATTGACTGAAGACAGAATTCAATAAAAATTGGTTTCTTCCCTGGAATAACCTTTCACGATTCCTTAACATAACTTATTTTAAATTAAAATGATTTTAAGCCTGTGATAAAAGGTGAATCGATCTCTTTAGAATAGAATAGTTTCAGCTAATACAAACAAAGAATGAAGATTCACAATGGTGATAATGTATTTAGATAAATGGGGTGTGCGATAGACCTACCGCCAAGTGGTGCACCCTGGGAAACGTATACTCATACGGCGGTTGACTTCTGACTTCAAACTACCATGACCCGACTTATGTCATATTCGACTTCTTCCACAGTATTCAACTCACCTTTTTCTCTACCATTGTCTGTCAAGTTACATCTGTGAATCATTATTCTGTCCCCATCTCAACTTTTTGTCAGTTTGATGTTCCTCCTCCTGTCTGTGAAGCCCGAAGTCAGCTGAAGGGCTAATGATAACTATTAAAACGCCTCTCCCTTGAAAAATATTTAGATAAATATAATATGAATTGCAGTTATTGGAATGAAGTTTAGCTAATTGAACCGTGAAATAATGGGCCTTGAACACTTGATAATCCCTTTAGCCCGTCATACTACTTTTCACCTGGTTTGCATTCCTCTAATCATATTTGTAGTAAAAAAGGTAAAAAGTCTTCATTTAGTTCATTATTCTCCAGAGCACTGACAATAAGAGTCAAAACTTCACGAATTATGATACTCATTTATGTTAGCAACAGCTTATTCCTTCCGAAGAGTCAATTAGTTTTAAGGTCGATAGAATAAAGTTACTATTGGAGTCTGTTGCAGTATGCCCATCTTTGACAACCGAAAGAGAATTTGGAACATACTTCAACGCGAAGTAGTTAACAGTACCATATGAACTCAGACCTGCCCTAATATCACCAACGCATCCAATTGACGTGAGCTCCGATTGTGACGTCATCTAATTATATCTTTCCTGCATTTATTTAATTTTCTGTTTGATTATATTTCAAAATAAACTGAATTATTTGAGCCAAAAGGTGGAGAATTTTTCCAGGAGGAGACTGGGTTAATAACTTGTTCCCTTCCATACCACAATAATGCGATTTCTCACTATATATAACAGGGGGGGGGGGCGCCTCTCGGGATAGCTTTTGTTGCGAATCTTACACGTGCACACCACTTTGATTGACAGAAATAAAGCAACTTAACACAAAACAGATACAGCTATGTAACATAAATCAATCGATTACTACCAAGTCAAAGTTAGATGTGGCCTATCAAACTTTGACCATTTCATTCGAAAACACGTTTTAGAGACCTTAATATAAAAATATGCAAGATTGAACCTTATTAATTCTATATTTACTTAATCAAATAGTCAATGCAAGAGAACGAAGAACATTTAAGATGCCCGAATGAACAATCGCACATTGGACTAAATGGGGTCCATTGTGCGTGGGACTTCACTCACAGCCACATCTTAGTCACACAGAACCTATTATTTGATTGGTAGATAAAAAAACTTCTACTATTGGTTTATCGAAGGTGATTATTCAGTGTGTTCATTGGCTCTTCGTCCTAATTAGCTGATACGGTTCTTGTAACAAAAAGTTAGAGGTAAGGACTGGTAGTATTTCCATATCTCCTTATTAGACCTCCTATAATTCTAATTCTGTAAGTACTCATTTCGTTGTGTTTCACTTAAACTCTAACATTTGCAGTGTTCAAGTTCACTCAACATAATTCCCCCATTAGATGTAGTATAACTCGCCAACCATGAAAGGTAAAAATTGCTCAAAGAAGTCCGCCATCTCAATTGGCATTCTGCTCGGTTTCCTGTTACTGATGGCAATAGCCCTAATTGCTATCTATGGTTCCTTCGATAAGCTCGTGGCCCGAATGATCCATTCCGTAACTTGATAATCATTTATGATTTTGCTAGCATTTTATGATTTTTTTAAACGTCTCCGCTAGTTTATGTTTTAGCCACGTTTCATTAATTCCTTTTTTATGCTCCACAGCTCATAAATGAATAAGTTTAATTCATTCCTGGAACAAGTTCGTTAACTTTTAGTTCTAAATTGACCCCAGGAAAGTCCATTAGTGCATAACTAAAATAACAAATCATTTACCGGTGATATCCGATTGGCCAATTCAAACCTAACTCCTGTTTGGTTGTAGAACATTGCAATAACTCAGTCATCCACTGTCTATTCTCAGTGGGTTAGTCCGGATACCCCTATTTTCTTCTCAGTTTACCTTTTCAACATCACCAATCAAAAAGATATTGAAAAGGGTGAGAAACCGAGGGTTCAACAGATCGGGCCCTATGTCTATAAGTATGCCTCGAGTGGTTTTTTTCCTTTTGAGGATTTTTGAATCTTATGAAATAATGATGTGTTCCTTCAGAGAGAAACGCATAAAAACAAACATTACTTGGCCCAAGGGTGATACATCTCGAGTATCCTTCTACCAACGTCTTGTTTTCACCCTTGATCGGAATCTTTCCATTGGGGACCCCGACAAGGATGTCATAATTGGAATTAGTACCCCGTTCGTGGTAAGTGACGGCTGCTTATTCTTCCTGACTACGAGTTATTTCTTTCAATCAGACTATAGCAGCGAATATGGAAGTTGGTAACGGACCGAGTGCGACAGAATATGCTCTCATGACGCTCTTTGTTGAACCAAAACTATTTGTAAAGACCTCTGTGACGAAATTTCTCTGGGGATATGTGGATCCTGTGACAGATGCATGCAACGCTTTTGATGGAAAAAAGTGTCCCACTTCTAAGGTCGGCCTTCTGTTAGGAGTGAGTTACCAATTATAAGCATTTAATCATAAAATGTCATTTATTAATTATGAAGATCCCGGCAAAATAGACTATGAAATTTGCAAATAATGGAAGCAATTTGAAAACCATTCTGGGTCTATGATCGTTTAGGTCTATCATGTTTTAAAGAAAGCCACAATATTTCAACGCGCAGGAACTTCATTTCAGTCTTTCTTTTCTAGTTCCCCTGGCACTGTAATTGAAATTTCTTTGATCTACTTAGGCTAATTTTTGGGTAGTTTAATGCCATAGCAGAGCTGCTTAATTGACAGCTAAATTGTCAATGTTTACAAATCTCAGATTTACTATAGATCTTTCAACCCACTGGTATTTTGTTGTAGAAAAATGGAACTGATGTCGGTCCCTTCGTAATTGACACGGGAGTTAACGATGTTACAAAACTAGGAAATATTCTAACATTTCAAGGCAAAGAGTAAGCTTACAAATTAAATTGTATGAATATTTCATTTCTTTCTGTATTATGTGACTTAATATTGAGTGTATCTTTAGTACTGTTGACGTCTGGTCATCAGAGAAAGCCAACCAGATAATAGGAACAGGTAAGATTTTGTTCAGTCTCTAAAATGTATGGATCGAACAATTTTTTAATTATTTTTAGATGGATCTCAAGTCGCACCTGACCTAACAATGGACTCAAGAAGGTTTATCTTCGCTGCTGATCTATGTCGTTCCTTTGAAATGCGAGTGGATGGAATTGGAAAACTTACAAATTCCGATAAAATCAAGGTCAATTAATGCCCAGTCGCTCGTTTTTTTAAATATTCCTATCTTTATACGATGGTATGAATGTTCAGTGGTTTAAGTATTTCATCAGTCAGTACTTGATTATATCTAAAGGGTATTTAAATATAACTCTCTGTCAAATTCTATCGGTGAAAGCTTTTCAAAAAAATTACATCTATTAGTCTCTACTTCACCATGTACCTTATGATTACAATGACCGGCTTTTCCACTAACGGTACTTCATGCAACTATTATTAAGATACCCTCCCTTTTCACCATATGTTCAAGGTCCATTATTTCAGAATTACTTAGACAAGAGTCAATACAATTTTTCTAGACAATTGATCAGGATTAAATTTTGTAATATCAGGGGTCTATTGGAATAAGCACATTTATTCATTGGCAGAGAAATTTATGTGCGTTAATAAGATGTGTGCGCTTATGAAATTCCCAACTATATTACCTTTTCCGCTTTATAAAAGGTGTTCTCTCTGGCCGGTACATCTGAAACCGGACAGTCTGCGAAAATGAATCCAGATAATCTTGGATATTGTCCTCCCAAAACCCCAGGTCCTAAATGTCCTCCCGCCGGTATCTTCGATTTATCTTCCTGTCGCAGACAAGGCAATCTTCGGCCTCCGGTTTATAGTTCACAGCCCTATTTCCTCGGAGCTGATCCGTCCCTTCGAGAAGGTGTTGATGGTCTCTATGTGCCTTCAAAGAGCAACGCCTCCACAAAAGTACTTGTGGAACCCGTAAGCTTAAGGAGATTGCCCATTTTAGTCTCCGGTTACTGTTAACGTTCATAAGCATAAACAGGAGGTCATTATCTTTGTACAAAATTACCCCAAGAAGAATTCCTTTGCTGAATTCTTATGCATTCAATCTTATAACGGTATGGGCAAATTCTATATGCGAAACGCTTTAGTTTATAAACTGCTTCCTTTTGCTGAACAAACATGGAAGACTGCCTATCAACCATTCAGCTGCCGGTTTTAGTTTTTTTTCAAGATAAGATCTTTTCAAATCACTTTTATGAAAACTAAGGGATTATTATATATTTACCCCCCCCCTAACATATTTGTAAATACTTTTCAGCCCCCAATTGAGACCTTTTATCACTGAAATGTCACTCTTAAACCAATTGAAACAGTCTTTTAAGTAAATATTTGGCAAAGAGCAATGAATGCACTTTACGCACCCTACTTCGATTTCAGGGCATCTTGGAAGACACCATTTTAATTTAGAATGAATTTTTCCACTGTAAAGTTGACAGTTATAAAATGCGTCAGTGGTAATTTAAATGCTACCCACAATAACACAAAAAATAGAATTTTCGAATAAAATGTACCTTCATAATTAGACCAGTTTATTCATCAAACATTATTATTATACCAAATAGCAGGCGTTTTGATTGTTATCATTAGCCCTTTAGTTGACTTCAGTCTTCATAGAGGGGAAGAAACATCAAAGTGTAGAAAATTCAAGAAGGTGG